ATTTTCAGGAAAGTGCTAGAAAGTGAAGTTTCAATTGTTTTTGAAACAGTGTTTGCTGGTCCCTGTTCCATATTAGCTGTCATTGCTGGTAGTAGGTAATGGTTCAAACAAAAGAGTGCTTGTATTTTGGTCAATTGAAACACCAAGAAAGAACCTCCATGGGCCAAAAGTAGAAACTATAAACTCATAACATATTTTCAAGGTTATGAATTCAAATCTACTCATCTAGAATATCAAATCTCTTATGTATGGTGAATTTGTTGTTGTGTGCGAAAGCCAAACATTTGGACATCTCAGTTGTGGATCGTGATCAATACCAAAACCTGTAAAAATGCATTTTGGGTAGAATTCTGTGAGGAAGACATAGATTATCTTATATACAATTTGGTGAATTGGGTTTCAGTGAATCATTTTAAAGATTTTAGGATTCATTGGGTTAGAGGTCAAAGCCAGGACTAGAACCATTATCTATGAACTGTGATTCTTCATCTTCTCCATTGTCGAGTTTTATCATCTCTTCTCTCCCATCTTTACATGATGTGTCTGGACTGCATATTTTGTTGCAGACAAGGAACTTGACATAATTGAAATGGCTGTTTATGGAGACGTAATCCGGCCAGGGAACCAGTGTCGTTGTAGAACAGTTTCAGAAATGCTGGGACAGTATAAATCAAAGGACCGCCTGGCCCCCTGCAAGCTGCCATCTAGTGAAGATTCTTTATAACAAAAAGAAGAGTTGAAATTGTAGCAAGTTTTCCCATATGTCATAGATCTGTAATTTATAATACAATGACTTGATTGCATACAATGTCACGTATTTGAAATATGGATGAATGTAATTAATTTGAAAGACTAAATTAGGATTTAAATAATTGTAGTATTATCTAAGCTACTCCGCAATTATTATTATTACTATTTTTTTCTTTTTATTGCTGGTTTGTGGTTCTGAAAAGGTGTTTCTCTTCTCCATTGTCTTGGTTTGATATCTAGAAGTAGAAGACCATCTATTGCAGCCTTTTCTTTTTTTGCTCTAATAATGTCAGAGAAGAAATCATAACCAAATGCAAATATAGTTTAATGGCTAAATATATGTTTTAGTTTTTTGTATGTTTCAATTTATTCCTTGGTTTTTTTAGAATTTCGATTTAGTTCCCTATATTTTGTCATTGGCAATTTAGTTCCTCATCGTTGATGAAGGAGTTGAAATTGGTTGATGGTTAACTTATCTAATTCTACTCATTTTTAGAAATTCAGAGTCGGGACATGAATAAAATTGGAACCCAAGTTGATTGGAAGAGATATGGGCAGCAAAAAACCAGAAAAGGGCTGCTTGTTCTGTTCCTTTGTGAACTTGTTAAGCTTTCCAGAGCTGTGAAAATGGAGGGTCCACCCTGACACCATCGCTCAAATGAAAAGGAAGCCATCCAAATCCATCAAATTTTTTAATAAATGTGTACATTGCCTCATATTAATTAGAATTTAAAATCTGTCAAAAGAAATTAGAAATTTAAAAAATGGCAACCAACTTCATGAAGTGAAGTCTTTTAGCAGAAACTAAAAATAAAATTTTAAAGACGTTTTTTTCTTTGCAAATCAAGCCAGCCTGTTCTCTAATACATGTATRTTTTTTTAATCAAATTCATGTCATATATAAATTTACAAGTTTATCTGTTTGAACATGATTGTATATATTCTAAAATTTTAGAGATATTTTACATAGAAACATAAATTCAATTGGACTTTTTAATTGGTCTGACGAACTTATAATCAAACATAATGTCAACTAAACTTCGGTAATTGATATTAAAACTCACGTGTTTAATAACAAACCGTGAAATAAATTTGTTTGTCCCTAAAAGATAAGGACTATATTCCCACAATGTAAAAGTTTATCTTGAAAATTCTGTTTTGATATCTTCCCTTCAAATTTTTAAATGTCTATTTTACCGGTACTGCATTATATAATATGATGGAATCTCGGAAGAAATTGTCTTTTTCTTTTAATATAACAATATGAGAGGTCCAAACTTATCATCTCTATTAGAGATGGATATCTTAACTAGTTGAGCTAAACTAACAATTTTTTTTTAATTGAAATYGTCTCTTCCATACAATTTGTTTGTTTTTATTTTTAATTTTATAACCTTTTAAGTTTTTATCAGTATTTTATTAATTTGTTATTTTTTTGGCACTTCACTCTAAATCTATAACATCAATTGTCTGCCTCCTGAATCTAAGCATAGCTCTTACCCTGGTTTGGAAGTCTAAATTTATGATGATTTTCAAATCATAATAAATTTTAAAATCATTTCTCGTGTTGAGCAGGATTTTGAAACAAAAAAAAAAAAGAATTTGAAATCCAATTTGATTTGAAATCTCGTTTGTCTCAGCTAAATACATTACAATTTTATGCTTACAATCAGTTAAATTGAAGAAATCAACGTAAGAAAAAAAAACTCTATGTCATAGTATTAGTTAGAGATGGAGGTGGTGCCAGAATAGGTACCAACATGCCAAGAATGAGATGAGAAAAAAAAAGGGAAAGAAAATGGATAATTGGAGTGAAATAAAAAGAAAAGAAAGAAAATAGAGGATGAGGTAAAAGAGAGAGTGAAAGAAAATAGAGAATAAAGTATAAAAAAAGAGAGAAAAATATAGAAAGCTGAATGGGGACGATATGAGATAAAAAATAAAATAAAATAAAAGGAATAAAGAAAATATAAAAGTGGATAAATAAAAAGGGAGATGAAGAAAGAAGAGGGACGAGATATGACGGGAAAATGAGGATTCGCACAAAAGGAAAGTAAGTAGAGTTGTTAGGATTTTGTTTTTAAAAATGATATATAATTACAAGGACATAATAGTAAAATAAATTATTTCTTTCTATTATCTACCATTATCTAAATAATAAAATTTATTTTTTATTGGATTAAATAAGTTATTTCTTTCTATTATCTACCATTATCTAAACAACAAAATTTATTTTTTATTGATTTAAAATCTATTAAAATTTGTTGGATTCTAAACAAAAGTAAGTATTTGAAATCATTTTCATAATTTAAAATCTTAGAATCATTTCAAAATTTTAATGCCAAACGGAACGTTAAAATACTTATATTTAATTGAAAGATCGAGTTTGAATTTCCACACTCGTATGTTGTATTAAAAAATTGGACAAATTTATAATTTAATACAAAAGAAGAAAAGGAAAACCTTAAAAAAAACCAACTATCTTCTTCTTCTTTTTAGACCGATTCTTTCCCATTATATGGACTATGGAGAGACGACTTCTATGATTTAGAAAATAATAATAAAAAGAAAAAAATTGCAGGGCTTAACTGGACAGTGGACAAAAGACGACCATTTCTATAATATTAAAAAAAAATCCCTGCTCCTAGCGATGAGGAATAGAGTTTTTTTTTTAATGGAGTGATTTTTAATTTTATTTAGTTATTGGATTCAAACTGATGATATCTTAGTCGGAGATAAATGTCAATTATTGTAGAACTAAATTCATGTTGATATAATTTTTAATCTCAAACTAACGTGCATTATCGTGGTATGTTATATAGATTTGTATATTCAATGTAATTTTTTATAAAAGAAATTAGATTTATTTTCTCAAAAGAGTTGTCATGTAATTTAAACAACCAAGTTCTAAAATATTATCATGTTTGTTGTAATTTTTTTTTAACACAACAAGTGGGGGTAGAGAGATTCAAACTCATGATCTATTAGTTAGAAATGTGTCAATTACCAGTAAGCTAACCTCATGCCGATTACTATAAATGTTAAATTATTCACTTTTCATGGTTTTTAATATATGTCCACCTACTTTTCATACAATTTTAAGATAATTTGAATTTCACCTAAAACATATATATATATATAAGATAAATAGGAACTTAAAATTAATTTAATGATATTTAATTTGAGTCAACCTAAACATAATTCAACTCAATTATGTAAAGAATATATATATTGTTCTAATCCCAACTTTCACTTTTTTTTAATTATAAATTCCTTTTTAAGCAAAAATAACTTTATTAAAAGGACGGATCTGCCACTTGCGCTGGAGAAAAAAAATTAATTTAATGATATTTATCTGTATAATACTTTCATTTATTGAATTAGAATGTCTATGACATATCAACATGAGCTGAGACATGATTCCATTCATTGAATTTTGCAATTGATAGTTTTTTATTCAATGAAAAATTAAATGGACAATAATTAACAGCTTATTGGAAATTATTTTGAATATATCAACGTTGACATTTACATAACAATTGATGAAAAAGGTTAAAACGTAATTTCATATTTACTAAGAAGATTGGCACCATTATAAAATATATTTAAAAAAAAAAGATGAGATATTTTTGGCAATAAATAATTTCAATCTCTCTGCCCAACTATCACTTCTCTACTCTTTCAATTCACATTTCCATTCTTCAACTTCTCTACTTCGATTTATTATTCTCTTTTTATGTTTGCTATCTAAATCTAGGACTATGAATTGGTGAATTTTGGGTTAATTCCGAAGGTTTTGGCTGTGAATCCTCTGGTTCCACGGTCAATTTTGATCGGATTTGGAGAAAGAAACAGAGGCATCCGATGGCGGCTTTGAGAAGAATCTTTTACAAGGTGCTGCCACCGTCGGATCGGCTTATTGAGATCACCGATAGAGTTTATGGTATGCTTTGTTGCATATTGTTCTCTCTATTTCTTTCTATTTTCGTTTTTGTCGATGTCATAATAAATGAGGAGAAAACAATAATGTAGGAATTCGAAGACATATGTCTCACTCTTATAAGGATGAATAAACCAAACTTATGAATTGAATAATTCAATTCATATATGTAATATTTAACGATAGCTTCTGCGATGCAAATGCCAAATTATCGTAGAATCTAAACTCTTGGCGCCAAATGGTTGGTTACACGCGGTTTAAGAGGAAAAAATGATGTGGCAGAGACTGTATGATTGGACTTGCTGATTTGGCAATTATATATAATATTTTTTACTTTTTTGGTAATTGGAGGTGTGGTCCTCTTCCTTTCTTCTTTTTTCCTCGTTGACCTCCGCCGGCGCCGCCGTCTCCCTCAGATCTAACGACGGGGGAGCTTCCCCTTCGTTTTAGACTGGGGGTTCTCAGGACGACGGTTGATCGATGACCTCAGGATCTTTCTCTAGGTTAAACCCGCCTCTGAAATCCGCCGCTGGTTTAGCAGAAGAAACGATGGGAATCGAGCAGCACCTGGGAGAAACTGCTCTCCAAGATACAAAAGCTCCATGGACTATGCCTAATCCAACCATGCCATTCTCAAAATCGCGATGGGATCTCGTTTTATCTGGACAGAAAACAAGGCGGCGAAGAGCGAAAGGCTGATGGTGGGCTTCTTTTTTTCGATGAAATTCTCCATTTCCGGCCAAATTTTTTATTCAATCCCTTTAAATTTTCGCCTCCAACCTCAAAATCTTCAGTAGAATGCCTCTCTGCACCAGTTTACAGTGGTGGTACCACACCACTCTGTAATCGAGTCAGGTTTAACAGATTCTCTCTTTTTGCTACCTATCAATATGGATATCTTGATATCAACTTGTGAGATGATTTTTAGTGGTGTCATTTGGTAACTTATTCTGGTTATTATTTGTTTTCAGTGTTTGATTGTTGCTTCTCCACGGAAGTGTTGGAAGAAGAAGCATATAAGGTCTACTTGGATGGCATTGTAGCACAGTTACAGAACCACTTTTCTGATGCTTCTTTCATGGGTTTCAACTTCAGAGAAGGTGATAGGCAAAGCCAAATTTCTAATATATTGACTCAGTATGACATGACAGTTTTGGATTATCCTGGGCATTATGAGGGATGTCCTTTATTGTCATTGGAGATGATCTTCCTTCGATCAAGTGAAAGCTGGTTGTCACTGGATGGTCAACAGAATGTGGTACTGATGCACTGTGAAAGAGGAGGCTGGCCTGTTCTTGCATTCATGCTAGCTGGTCTTCTGTTGTACAGGAAACAATACAGTGGGGAGCAGAAGACTCTTGAAATGGTCTACAAGCAAGCTCCTAAGGAACTTCTCCATCTTTTGTCTCCTTTAAACCCTCAACCTTCCCACCTGAGATATCTTCAATACATTTCCAGGAGAAATTTGGATTCTGATTGGCCTCCATCTGATACACCTCTGGTTTTGGATTGTTTAATAATTAGAGTTATACCTCTCTTTGATGGGGGAAAAGGATGCAGGCATGTTGTGCATGTCTATGGTCAAGACCCCTCAGCTCCGGCCAACAGAACTTTGAAGCTTTTATTTTCGACTCCAATCAATAAGAAACATATCCGCAGCTACTTACAGGTAATGGCTCAGCAACCCAAATTCTGAAAGCTGAAATTATTCAACATTTAAGTTTTCTTATTAATTGTTTGTTACCACAGGCAGAGTGTATGCTGGTGAAAGTTGACATTCGTTGCCGCGTGCAAGGGAATGTGGTTGTTGAATGCATCCATTTGGATGAAGATTTAGTAGGTGAGGAGATGGTATTTAGATTTATGTTTCACACAGCATTTGTTAGATCAAACATTATGATGCTGAGCTGTGATGAAGTTGATGTTGCATGGGATGCAAGGGACCAGTTCTCTAAGGACTTCAGAGTTGAGGTAAGTTATTGGTCTTCTTTTATGAATGTGCTTTCGTGAAGTTGTGAAAGCTGACACAAGATTGGATTTATGTTAGGCACTCTTTTTGGATGCTGATGCTGTTGTCCCCAATCTCGCCACAGCCCTTGACGATGAAGATGAATATGAAACAGGAGCTGCTTCTTTTGAAGAGTTTATTGAGGTTGAAGAGATCTTCAACAATGTAATGGATGGGCAGGAAGCCAAAGGGTCCAATGATCCTCCTGCATTCCAAGATTGTGCATCTGCCGATGGAAATTTTAAGCATGATAAGAAATCCGATTTTGATTCAGTGAAGGACATTACTGTGGATGATGTGAAATACAAACTGGATGAAAATATATACTCTGAGCTTAATGCAGTTAAGAACACTGTTGTGGAAGAGGACATGGATCCTCCATTCAGTAGACAACCACCACCATGGCTGCAAATCTATTCGTCCGTTTCTACTGTAATGGTGGCTGGTTCTATTCCACCTCCACCACCCCCACCTCCACCAATGGTGCATAAGGCATTTCCCTCACCATCTCTAGTGAGAGGAACACCACCTCCACCTCCTTCAAAGCATGGAGTACCACCTCCGCCACCACCTCCAAAAGAGTGCTTGTATTTTGGTCAATTGAAACACCAAAAAAGAACATCCATAAGTCAAAAGTACAAACTATAAACTCATATCTTCGAAGCTATGAATTCGAATCTACCCATCTAGGATATCAAATCTCTTCCGAATTTTTTGATGTTGAAAGTGATATAGGGTAATTTAGTTGTTTCATGAAATTAGGTTGTGTGTGCAAAAGCCAAACATTTGGAAATCTGCAAAAATGCATTGTGGGTAGAATTCTCTGAGAAAGACAGAGATTATCTCATATCCAATTTGGTGACTTGGGTTTCAGTGAATCATTTTAAAGAGTTCAGGATTCATTAAGTTAGAGGGTCAAAGCCAGGACCAGAACCATTGGCTATGAACAGTGATTCTTCATCTTCTCCATTGTCTAGTTTTATCATCTCTCCTCTCCAATATTTACATGATGTGTCTGGACTGAATATTTTGTTGCAGACAAGGAACTTTACATAATTGAAATGGCTGTTTATGGAGATGTAATCCAGTCAGAGAACCAGTGTCGTTATAGAACAGTTTCAGAAATTATGTGGCTATATAAATCAAAGGACCACCTCGCCCCTGCAAGTTGCCATAATGAAGATTCTTTGCAACAAAAAGAAGAGTTGAAAGTGTAGCAAGTTTTCCCATATGTAATAGCTCTATAATTTGTAATGCAATGACTTGATTGCATACAATGTCACATGTTTGAAATATGGATGAATCTAATTAATTTGAAAGACTTAAATAATTGTAGAATTATCTAAACTACTCTGCAATTTTTTTTAATTTTATTGCTGGTTTGTGGTTCTTTTAAAGGTGTTTCTCTTCTCCATTGTCTTGGTTTGATATCTAGAAGTAGAAGGGCATCTATTGCAGCCTTTACATTTCTTTGCACTTTATTTGTAATCATTGAGGCCATAACGGTCCCCTCTCACTTCCATTATTCAATGAATCATCCCAACAGACAACAACAAAGAAATCTGTCAGAGACTTCTCAATTTTTTCAACGCACCCAAAAAAGAAAGAGAGAAGACGAAGAAATCATAATCAATGCAACTGTAGTTTTGTGTATTTTGTTTTCAATTTTTTTCTTTATATTTTGGTATTTTCAATTTAAATCGTTTCCAGATCGGAACTTTTCAAATTATAGAGACTAAATTGATAATAAGAAAAAAGGTTTAGACATATCACTCTCCACGTTTAGTTTCAAACGCATGAAATTTTATTTTGCTTCAAATACCGATTGTTTAAATTTGGGACATGAACAAAATTGGAACCCGACAATGTTAGGAAGAAATATGGGCAGCAAAAGACCATAAAAGGGCTGTTTGTTGTGTTCTTTTCTGAACTTGTTAAGCTTTCCATAGCTATGAAAATGGAGGGTCCACCATGTCTCTTCAAATTTCAGAGCAACCAATCCACCAAAATGTGATAGCCACAGAAAAAATGGACCTCCCTTTTATCCCTTCTAAATTCATCTCTCTAATTTGTTAGTTTTGCACAATTTTTAATAAATGTGTGCATTGCCTCATATTAATTAGAATTTTAAAATATGGCAACCAACTTGTGATTGTTTGAAGAACAAATTAATGTATCTTCAGCTTTGTTGAAATAATAATAATAAAGAAATAAAAAAAATTTGTCATCACATCTAAACTTTATGATAGACCTGTAATCCACAACTTCTAATGTTATGAAAAATAAAAATGGATCGTAAAATAAGTAGCGATCCTAGCAAGGCGTTTGCAGTGTCAAATGGATGGAAATCAAGCCAGAACCATTCTCTAATATTTATATTTGGTCAAATTCACGTGATATATAAATTAATAAGTTTATCTCTGGTAACATGGTTGTATCTCTTTTTAAAGTTTATAGATATAAGGAACGGGAGAATTTGAGTCTTACATAGAAATATAAAGTCAAATTTGTCAATTTGAGCATAATTCGAGTTAAAACACATATATCTAACTAGAATGTTGTGGATTCGAATCTCCCCGTTCAAAAAAAATTTGATATAATAAATTAAAAAAGCTCACGCTTTAATAACAAACTGTGAAATAAAATTGTATGTCCTCAAAAGACGAGGACTATTTCTCGAGAAATTTTCACAAAAGAGAAAAATAATTATTGTGAAATATAAATATTTAAAATGAAAGACAAAATATTATCAATATCATTTAGGGAGGGGAACCGTTAATGAAGCTGCCACAATATGTTTGTTATTCAAAATTATGTTCCCCTGATACTTAATATATATATAGATTTGAGTTACTTTATGATTTGTCTTTCATAAATTAGAGCGTATAAAATTACCAGCCACATTGTTGTTGTCTCTTCCAATAATTTCTTTTGATTATGAAATTTTTTTTAATAAGACTATGGTTGACACTTGATAGACAACCATTGCACGAATTTAAATATCCTAAAATAATGGTCAATCTGAACTCTCAACTGATTAAGATATATATCTCGAACTACAGTGTCTTAAGTTCGAAATTTCATCTCCATATATATTTTTTTAAAACAAAAATTAATCCTAAAATAATGACTTATTTGGATGGTTGAATGTCCTTATTCCACCCACATTTTGAATTTATATTTAGCACCCATATGTAATAAAGAAAAGTATTTAATTAATGTTGAAAAGTCACAACTCTTTATAAAGGAGTATATCCTCTCTCAGGAGACAAAGCCTTAAAAGAGAATGAGTCATTGGCCCTTTCACAATAAATGACCATAACTTATGTGAATTTTTGTCAAACAAAATGTGCGTTATTTCTAAATGAACAACTAAAATTATGAAGCATGGAGTCTTTTCTTTTATTCAATAATTTTGTTGTGGAATATTGAATCATATACCTTTAAAATGGTAATAATATACCTTCGGTGTCTTGTTTTATTTATTGTATTATGTTTGAATATGACCATCAAACTATTGAATAGTAGTTGGAGTATTGGATGTTAATCATTTGTATTATGAAAGATAGTGATTCATTACTTAGATAGATTTGATTAATAGACATAGCACGTACTTGAAAACTTTCCACTTTTGTATTTGGATAAGAAAATAATTTTTCATTGGTTGGAATTTTGTAAAACTTGCTCATTCATCTATTAATGACAAAATTATTTTAGTGATCATGAGTTGGATGTTTAAGTTTCTCAAATATAATTTAATTTAAAAGTAAATCTTTTTTTAATATAATACAGGAGAGCGAGGATTTGAGGTGGACACAACCAAAGAAAATTTACCCACTACTCCACAATGTAAATTATTTTTTGAAAGTAAATTTAAAAATAACAAAAAGAAAACTCTAAACGCCGTTTAATCTCATGATCCACCATATCATCATCATCATCCCCTCCATTAGGCTGATGATGAGGATGCAGTGGTCCTCACGTGGCACGCACATTCCATGGTCCCCACTGTACCTGATCGCCCCATACCTCATCCCACCGTCCATTCTGTTGACTTTTGCGCTCTGTCATTGACCATCGATTTTTAATTTCTTCCATTTGATGCCACGCCGGCTGCAGAAACCTCCTCCATTTCGTGGTCGAAATCGCCTCCTTCCTTTCCCACAGTGCTCGACACGTGCGACGCACGTGGCTAGTGTTTCTTTTAATGGACGACTGACATTTGACAATGAGCATGATGTGTTCACACGACCTTTCACGTGACATGAAATGCGATTTATTTACGCCTTAAATCCTAAAATTCCACATCCTTTTTCTGGACGAAGTTTTAAAATAACGTAGTTTTAAAAATAAATTACAAAAATAAAGTTAGTTTAAAAATAATTACAAAATAAATGTAATTTAAATAAATAAAATCAAAATATAGGTTAGGTTTTCAAAACTATTGACAAAAATAGGTTAAGTTAAAATAAAAGTCAAAACTCGCGTACAATGTCTACGACTGTATTTGACGTGGCAAGTGATTAGGTGGAAGTTGCGACTTTCACCTTTTTATTTTTTTATTTTTGGAAGTCGTACAATTATTTATTTATTTTATTTTATTTTATTTATATTTTAATTTATATATTGTTATTTTATTAATATTACGAAATTTCATTAAGATGTGATTAAATTTTTTATTTTTTTGTTATTATATTTTAAATTTTGATTAAAATGTTAAAGTCTGAAAGTTTAAAATTAGATCAAAACCAATTCGATGATTAAAATGTCATTTAGGTGCTTCATCTTCGTATGTTCTATAATAACATTTAAATTTAATATAAATTAAATCGATAAAAAAATATTAAATTAATAAAAACATAAAAGTCAAGGTATAAACTACATGAATTTGGGGTATGGATAATTAGGGTTTTGTTTGTTTTATAATTATTTTGTTTTAAATTATTGCATAAGATGTCCATCATGTTATAGCTAATTCATAATCTATTTTTCGAATATAGAGAAAATTCATATTATACAATTTAGTCTTCTTAAATTGTGATTTTTTAAAATAAAATTTAAAATAAATAAATAAATAAAAAGGACAAAAGGATATTGATGGGAAGTGCCACTTCTAAATTAAAAAAATATATATTAAAAAAAAAGAAGAACAAAGGAAGTGCCTGACTTCAAAATTCAATATAATAAAAAATAATAAAAGAGGGAAAACAAACAAAGGAAACCTCCAAATAAAAAAAAAATCCAAGCGGAGTGGCTGCACTTCCAAATTCTGGAAAAAAACAAAAGGAAGTCGCAGTCAATGGCTGACTTCCAAACTCAAAATAAAAAAAACAAAAAAAAAGAACAAAAGACCCGTCAGCAAAGCCGTGGTTCTAGTGGAACCACGTCAGGGAGAAGTCGCAGCCAATGGCTGCGACTTTAGTGAAATCGCGGTCAATGACCGCGATTTCGCCATTAATCGCGACCAACGACTGCGACTTTAGTCAAATTGCAGGCCACCTCTGCGATTTATGTACCCTATTTATGTAATTAGTTTGAAACCTACCATAGTTTTGTCATTTGTTTTATCGAGGTTGAATACTCACCCCTCAGTATTAAAAAATTTTAGTATAAAAGTATAACTTGAGATGTTGAACTTTCGACTTTTAAAGAAATAAGAGATGCCTTAACAATTGTTTTTTTTTTCGATTTATAAAATTTTTCTTTTACATTTATTTAAAATAAAAAGTGGAAGTACGTAAAGTGTTTTTTTAATCTTAGATTTCAAATAAAACATGCATTTTCATACCTAAAATTCTTTATTCCTATCCTTTTTTTTTAACCTAGTCTTCATTCATATCTTTAATAAAGGAGTTCTTTAATTTTTGATTTATAAACAATTCAAGCATTTAAAATATCATGTTGAAATTTTCACTCCCTACATTTGAACTATAAGATAACAAATATCTTGGAAAAAAAAAATATCTATGGTTGAGGGAGAAATTCGAGCCAGGTACGTGTCGAGTTCTGGAATGATAGCGAGGTGCGAGACTACGCATAATTTACGTTGAGTATGCGTAGTAGCGTGTCCTCTAAGGGCTATACGAGAAGGGAAATATCCCTATCATTTGTCCTTCAACAACCTATCTGAAGGCGCCAGGAATTGCTTCCAAAGTATGAAATCTCTCTTGTTGATAACTGTGAAACGATGAATGGTTTATATAGACCATTAGTCATAAGAGGAAAATCACAAAATAACTAAATGTGCAACAAATCCTAACAAAATAACTAAATGCAACAAATCAAAACAAACATTCAACAAATAAAAATCATAACAATATCTTGTTAATGGTATATCTTCACATACCCTTCCACAACCATCTTATTTTCAAAAACGTTTAATAAATCTTA